TATTTTTATGTAATGGCTATTTTTTCACGTAATGTTCATTCATTACAATTCTTAGTGAAATATGGTGACGTTGCTCGCAAAGCGAGGTTGAACTGCTGGCTATCATGCAATCAGAAATTCAGACAGACAATGGATTGTAAAGAAGAATAAGATATTGGATTATTTCTCGGTAAGAAATGAATGAGCACTAAGTTTATGGGTGATCTCTGTATAGAAAAATCAACTGCGGGACGTGTTGTTAGAGTGTTTACCAAACAAAGCATCTAAAGTAACAACCCGATCCAGAATACATAGATGTTACAATGATATACCTAATGTTCAGATATTCTTTTACGATATCAAGTGATAGGACGAATAACTTATGTGTCTGGCGGTAAGCGACACGCTTGTCCTTAATAGTTGCAGTGTCGCTCAGAGCTTTAAATCGCAAAGATCTGCGTGGCACCGCCACTGCGCCTCGTCACCCTGAGACATAGTTCACAAGTTCTATGCGCCTGTAATTTGACTAGCACCCTCACTCTTTCAAACCGAAACGTAGTAACATTATTACTTGGCGGCAGAAATAAGTAAGTTAACAGTACTTCCCTGGACGAACTATTTTACAAGGAGCTCTACTGCTACTATGTTTTTAACCGACTTCAAAAAAGGAGGAGGTTCTCAATTCGATTGTATGTTTTCTTTTGTTTTTTTTGTATATATTTTCATGATTCTTTTTTTGTTGGAAAGAGGGTACCTCCATAGTGGTCTCATTTAATTTTGAAGAAAATCATCCATCTGTAAGGGTGGCTGTTCACGCATAAAGAATCATTTTTAAAAATAGCGCCTAAATTTTGGGATAATGAGCAATTATTTTAGCGGTTGATTTTGCTATTCTTTAATTCAAGGCGTCTTTCTCTCAATATACTAAGAGTAGTGAGAACCGATTTTTATTATCTCCTGTGTCAAGTCCCCTATAGTGGCGAACTAGGGGATGAATCCGGGTTTGCGCACTTTCCGGTAACCGATTTCAGTAAAACTTGGCAAATAGAAGTAATTCCACGTACTTTTGAGGTCGGTTTTTTTAGTACTCTGTGCTGATTTTAAATTTATAGTATTGTAAGTATATGACTAATAAGTCGTACTGTTTTGATTTAAATTGAAATCGGATTCGCACATACAATACTATTAATAAAATCGTTATCTAAGGTTGTCATCCTACCTTATAAAAGCGGATGCGGCTTGAGCTGGTCAGAAAAAGTTTTGTCTGTGCAAAAATAGTAAAAAAGATGTTGCGCGTTTTGGTTTTTCGCACTTATTACAGGGATATAAAGCTGTTTAAAATAGGCTTAATGTGATTCCGTATGCTTCAATAAGTGTGATGAAACGTATTTATGAATAACATTTAATGTACGAATTGGTTGTCAATTTTAATATTTGTTTTTGAGCTATTAGGGCGCGTGTACACTCTAAGAAATTCGACGTGTCTGTTACAGAAAAGATGAGCATGGTCTTGTATACGACAAGAACTTTGTCTAGCTACGAAAACAGGTCGTGTCTGTTGATGACGAGACGAGGAAATGATGAGTATGTACACGATACGAATGCTTTGGGACAGACGTGTGTAGGGTAAAATGTGTCAGTGCATTACGAGTCTTCCAGGTAGCTTCCAGGTACTACCGACTGTGGGAAGAAATATGTTGTTGTATACGTTGACTACTAAGCAACACCCGTCCACGCACATAAACGTTCGTTTACTGACAATGTACCTCACCCCGCACCATACAATAGCGGCACAGCGCGTCGTGTCGGGGGTAGACAAGATTTTTTTTTTCTTGTCCGGCGGCGAAGCAGTGTACTTAGTTCGTGTGTAGAAACGACACGACTTCTTGCATAGATCCGGCAAATTTTCATAGCGTGGACACGCGCCTAACAGTACAAACATTCTTTACATACAATACTAATTAAATAAAAATATAGACAGTCACGTGAAAGCAATAAAAAATTGTAAATAAGATGACAGATTTTGAAGTCGGTAGCAATCCGTCTAGATTAGGTAACGATAACATTCTAATGATAACAATATCTTTTTACATTTATCATGTTGTACTCATATTGCATTTATCACATTATCTTATGTTTTTGTAAGACATTGTAAGTACATAATACATTTTGTTTCAGTGATTGATTCGAACAGAGATTGAATTAACTATCAAATTTTGACGTACAGTGTCTTGTTATTTTTGTTTCAAGTGTAGCATTAACCTTTTTTTTCTGTTTCGCTTAATGGTTGACTGGTGGACTTACAGCCAACGCAAACTTATGGACGTCAAGGCAGAGGACATTAAATTCATCAATACGTATTAAAATACGTAAACGCTATTACAATTGACATAACTTATAAATTTCAGTGCTCTGAGACGCATAGAGTATGTATCGCGATGCTCCGTCCGGTCTCAGAACATTGCAATATATACCTTATTCAATTGCAATAGTATAAATTAAAAATAAATTAATAATTATACAATTGATAAATTTAATGTGCTCTGCCTTCCTGTACGCCGGTGTGCGTTGTCCTTACTGCTAGTTCACAATCTCACCGTTTAGAAAGTGCGGGAGGTCCAAAGATGGAGCACGCTCAACCAAGCCAAAATATACTTGCTCACTCTGTTCTTACATATTATATATGTATAATTAATATTTGAGAATGTTATAGCTAAAAAAATGATTATTTAAATAAAAAACAAATTCGTACATAAAATGCCGTTAATAAATTAGAACAGTGAGCTCAGTGGGCTCACCCGCGGCTAGCCTCTTGAGAACCGGATGAAGTCAGTGACAACGTTAGAGCATTCTAAGGTGAAAACGGTCGGTGACAACCCTATACACTGGCTCACCTGGTGTCAGAACCTAAACTAAGAAGGTTCCTGTGCATGCACAGGTTATAGTGTCCTTCTCGTACACCCTACGGGTCACTATAATCAAAACTAATGTAGAAAGATATGGGGCTGTTAATTCTGTTCATGTCAGAAGATAAATTGAATTTGCGTGTAAATTCTGAATATTTAAATTTAATATACTTTATTGCAAGCACATATACGGAATTAAACACAAAATAAACAAGCATAAACGTAACAAAGAGTTTGAAACCCCTGAAGTTTCTTACTCATTCTTCTCAGGGGAATCTGTCTTACGAATGAGTAGTAGAGTTTACCTATCATAAAATAAAGATACATTTGAGTTTGAATTCAATCATAATTATAATGATTTGCGGGATAACCACACTAATAACCTGGTCTCAAATTAGACATTTCCTTGTGTTTTGAGTACCAGAGCAATGGAATTCACGCTAAGTCATTACCTGGAATAACCTGACTAGAGCCAACTTGCAAAAAAATGTTCATCTTCTCAAATTGGTTCTACCGGGAATCCAACGCTGTATCTCGTCATCTAACGCCCACAGAGTAACAGCCTCATTTTATTCAATTTTTTTTGTCAAAATTAAGTATAAATTTATTTTATATTTTATTTATCATGATAATACGGACACTGACTTGAATGTCAAAAGGTTTTTGGTAAAATACTAAGAGAAAAGGAAATTATTTATTTATGAGCTATTTGTCTTTTACTTATATTCCTTTTATTATTCTTTTCCTTATTATGCTTGTTATTATTTATTCTATTCAGACGTCACCTTCTATGTACTTTTTGTATAGCTGGTTTTTTGAAAGCTAAACTAGTTTTACCATATTAAAGCCGTAAGTAGAGCTCGCTGCATTTGCATAACAATAAACGTATTTGAAATCCGTTACTGGAAAATGCTCAAAAATGGATTCATCCCCTAGTTTGTCACCCTTAGAGGTGGAGCATTTTCTTCTCCTTCTTATTAATTGAAATGGGGCCACTACTGAGGTACCCTCTTTCCAACAAAAAAATAATCATTCAAATCACTTACTTATTCACGTACTCCGCTGAGTCAGCGACCCAAAATGAGTCCCGGCCACCGAAACGAGATGATGTTACTTTTTTTCGGTCCTGTGCAATCTCCCGCCAATTGATTCGTCTCCATGGTGTCGTTCCAGCGATACCTGAGACGACCAATCGGTCTTCGTCCAGTAGATTGACCCAGTTAGGCTCTCTTCACGTACCGATCCTCTTCTACCTTTTCTGAATGGCCGAGCCAGCGAATCCTATGCGCTTTGGTTTCGCCAATGATGTTTGGCTGGGCGACGAGCTCTTCTATTTTAGCGTTAGTGCGAAGTCTCCAGCTACAGTTCTCCTGTTGGACTGGCCCTAATATTTTCCTGAGAACCTTTCTCTCAGCCACCTGGAGTTTGTTCTCTTCTTTAAGTGTGAGTGTCCAAGCGTCGCACCTGTACTAAGAATGGGCCTTATGACAGTCTTTTAGATCCGAAAGTTGGCTTGGTGGCTCAGAAGTTTGGACACTAACACTTTGTGTAGAGCTGCACTATACCTTAGGGTGTTCTGAATGCGGATGTCTGTATCCTCTTCCTAAGAGTTGGTATCTGTTATAGTGCAGCCTAGGTACTTGAATTTGGCCACACCTTTGTAGACGGCATCTCCAACATAAAGGTCACGAGTTTGGCGAACATTTTTAAATAGCTTCATGTGGCGAACATTTCTAAATCGGTTCATGTGGCTTCATTTCCGTTTTCTCGTGGCTAATCATGAGGCCTACTTTTTTTTGCTTCGGATCACAGGGTTTCCACAGACTGAATCACATCACTCGTTGCTTCTCCCAACAGGGCCAGATTTATCATTCAAGTCGATTCACAAATTTTATTTTTTAAAGCCGGAGTTATCGTGTAAAATACATGAAAAAAAAATATTTGTAGACGAATTAAGAACTTCCTCCTTTTTTAAAGTCGGTTAAAAAAATGACAGTCGACTAATTTTTATTTCCAAATTAGACCTTAAATAAAAAATGTAATAATCGACCATTTATATATATCTTTGCGGATAATATTATTAATGTTTTATACGTACTCTGTTGTTGGTTTCAGGTACTGCTGCGGTTACACAACCACAACAAAGGCTACAAAATAGGTAAATAAATTAAGTACGTAATTGCTATTGCATGTATTTTACAACATGATTGGTGTGACGTCAGCATCGGTTAAAATACAATCTGAGCGACAATTGTCATAAAAATGGAATATAACGAAGAAAGAAAGAAAGACAGACTACAAAAATAATCATTGTTATGCCAATCTTAATTTTATTCAGCATAATTTAAGCATCAATGTGGCTATAACGTAGAACGCAAAGTGTATTGTCTATGCCCACTAGAAAAAGAAAAATTACCTATATCTGGTGGTGGTAATGCTGTATTTGCCTTTTTTTATAACACACGTATTAGTGCGCATTTGTGAGATGGAGATCTCACCTGATGGAAGGTAACGATGAGATCGACGACGTAGCATACATATGTAAATAACGCCTACTCATTCTTGCCTTGAAAAGGCCCAAGTTATAACGTTCAGAGAATAAGTGTGCTGGCAGGGAACCCCACTCGATAGCCGTTCGTCACATAAATATGGAAGCGTAACGTTTCGTGCGAATCCTAGGTATATCCACAACGCACAACAACAATAACTGTAATGTGGTTAATACAGAAAGAAAGAACTTACATAAAATAAATTAAAGATTACAAATACAGGCTGGATCCAGCTCGGAATATGTCACAGCTCGTCTGCAACGTTGGCTTTCAATCGGAGCCAATTTAATAGGTTGAGATGACTCAAAAATACCCACCAATGTTAGCTAACCCTAAAAAATTTCAACATGTATCTTTAGAAAAAACCATCTCAAATCAAATATAAAGAAAATAATACTATGCCAATGGCAACAGTGTCAACTCTGCAATTCACGCAAGTATGTAATGACATACGTACGTATGTGTAACCTACGGTTTAGTACAAAACAGACAATATCGACACGGGTACGATTTAATTTGACCCGCCCTGAATGCAATTTCATTTGTAAATAAATTAGTGTAGGCTTTTTCAAGTCTTTTAGGCGAGTGAGTCCCGCACTTGATCTATTAGGTAGTCTGTGCCCGAATCACAGGACAAGCCTAGTCAGACCACAGCGCCTGAGACGGTTAACTCCTGACTAACATCGGGATTCCGGCAAAATGGAAGACTGGACTACGATCTGTATTGGACGGCTTAATTGGTCTTGGAGTTATATGCGCAGGGTTATTGATTTATGACTGGCAAGCTATATTTCGCCCCTGTCATGTTGCGGAAATTTGAAGAACTATAGGCAACAGTAATATTGTCCATATGCGACCCTATTACAGAATACATTATTTACATGAGTAGTGAGTCATTCAATTTGACGATCTCGGTGGCGCAGCGGTTAGAGTCATGGGCACCAGATGAGGAGGTCCCAGTTTCGATTCCCGGTGGGATCAGTTTGGAAAATGAACTTTACTGAATTGGATCTGGGTATCCTGGTCGTTTTTTTGCTTTTGTGGTTGTCTCGCACATTATTAATTGTTCAATAACAAATTAAGCACGAAATTGTAAGACAAAAAAATTACTGTAGAACTTTTTGGTCCTTTTCAAACATTTTAATACTTTCAAAATGCTAACACAACAAAAAGTTAACAAAATGTTAACATTTGAATACTTTTGAAATTGGTAATACATCACCGTACTACACGTATCTTCAACGTACGTTATCAAGACCCGGTGAACTAAGTATTTCTTGCTCATCGAAGCGTGTAATGGAATAAGCTGGGAATCCGTTCGTAGACAAAGACACATGTATTTAGTACAAGGTGATAGGCTGTTTACTCAACGGTTGAACCCGGTCTAATCCCCTTCTACGTTGCTATTAACTTTTAAGGGTTTTCTGTGAAGCGTTTTCTTCGGGTTATAACAAATAGGTCATATTTCAGCCAGTGACAGCTCATGATAACGGATAACTTTGTTACGATGCGGATCATCGAAGAAAGAAAAGTTGGGTTTTTTTATCATTCCCCTTTCTGGTTCCTGACCATTTATTTTCGAAATTTTGTATCGTTCTGGAATTCCCTTTTCCATCATAATTCTTGCGTTTGTTCTGTCCGTCTTCACTCCCATTAAAATTCTCAAATTTTCTTCCTCATTTTCTTATTGGAAAACTGTATGCACGTAATCACTTGTATGAGTTCCAAAAGAGGTGTGACAATGAGCGGTACATTGCGTTACGAAAACCGCCTCCGCGGCGAACTTCACCGGATGGAGAAGGTGACGCTGACCATTCATGCACTGAGCCATCGCGTATACAATCACCTACCTGACGATGTCACTAGCGCTCCGAGCACGTCTTCCTTTCGCTTTAGGCTAAAAATGTGGCTAATCCAGCGATCTTTTTTATTTTATCGGATTTTTTTAATTTTAAATAATATTATTATAATGTAAGTAGGTTACTATTTTTCTTTTATATCAGTTTATAATGCAATTCAATACATTTGTTTAGTTAACATTCTCATTAAGGTACTAAATTGACATGTAACGGAAATTATGAATAAATAATTATGATTACGATTATTTATTATTTTAAATTGTTATACAGACCCTTTTGGGGTAACAATAATGATAACGCACACACTTGTAGTCCCGCATTAGGGAAATCCCATATCGCGAGTTGTCTATGCGTGTGTTATGGACACAAATTAAACCCAAATTCACGAGAGATAAATGTAGGCCATACAAATATTTGTGCCGGCCTGGAAATGGAACCCGGGACCTTTGCGTGGCAGACCAGCATGGTTACCGTTCGGCCACGAAGGCAGCGAGTGAGGCGTCTTCTTATCCTATCGATCGCATACACTATAATACTTCCCATCGTTGTGAAAGAATTTGCCAATCGGCATAAGGTATAAGGTTGTACACGGTGCGCCAGACGTATTAGAAGGGAATGGTACGCTATACGGGGAGGCTCCTTTCGTGTGCCGCAAGGGAGGTGAGTATAGTACGTATGGCTTTTATTTCCTCTTTTATCATTTCTTACAATAAATCTTGTGGAGCGGGCCTTCAGCATTTTCATATCGCTAAGGCTAGGCTCATAGAGGGCTTAGAGGTGGCTGTTTACTGTTACAAAGAAATATAAAACAAGATTTCTATTGGTTTTTGGCATTGACTCCACAAGAAGAAGAGGTTAGGCCACAACTGTAGCAAAATAAAGGAGACGAATACGCTTTCATACAATCTTAGGCCTAGATGTAGAAAGACGCAAGTAGTGTTACTTAATAGCTTATATATTGACAAATTTTAATTGCAGTAGAGTTCCTTGTGCAAGAGATCGTCCAGAGAAGTACTGCCACCTTACCTATTTCTGATTTGAAGGTTTAAGGGTGCTGGTGAAATTGCAGACATGTGGGACTTGTCAACTTATGTCTCAGGCTGACGGGTGCAATGGCAGTGCACCTCGGATATTTGCTATTCAAAGCACTGAGTGGCACTGAAACTGCTATAGACAGGCGTGTCGCTTACGACCAGGTGCACGACTTGTTCGTCCCGTCAAATAGTATTATAGTAAAAAATCATAACTGAAAGTTCTGCGGGTTTTGGCAACCTGAAAACAGAGTTATAAGAGATTTAGTAAACAATTTATATACTTTTTCCTCTCTCAACGTATTTTGACAATAAAACTATATAAAAAAAGAAATAGTTGTTAAGACAGAGCTTGTAATTTTTGTCACGGGACGAACAAGTCGTGCACCTGATGGTAAGCTGCACGCCTGTCTATAACTGTTGCAGTGCCACTCAGTGCTTTAAATCGCAAAAATCTGAAGAAGGGCACTATCACTGCGCCCGTCACCCTGAGACATAAGTTGACAAGTTCCATGTGCCTGTAATTTCACCAGCACCCTTATCCTTCAAAATCGTAACACACTAATACTGACATTACTACTTGGCGGCAGAAATAGGTAAGGTGGCAGTACTTCCCTGGATGAATTCTTTCACAAGGACCTCTACTGCTACTAATAAAACTTATAAGTATAATATATAACTTTTTGTTGTGAGTATACTAGTTGCTCGATGTAGGTATAGTGTATTAGTTATTATAATGTATTTTCATACTTATATATACATTATTTGGAAGTATTTAAACATACAAAACACACACGCCCACACACACAAATCTGTTACTTATTTTATTATATTCAAGTAAGTATGCTTGCGTATGTTGTTTCGTGACCTCACACAGTGTCCTAACTGAATATCAGTGCTGGGAACGCATTGCATTTTCCAGCAAATACCGACTTTGTGAAAAGTTTGTTACCGCGACTGGCACCACACAAAGTATTTGTATAGTATAGTATTTGTATGAACAGTTCGTGTTTTAATTTAATCTGATTTTTTATATACTTTTTTTGCTTTATTTGTGCTTTTGTTTCCTAATTATTTATTTATGTTTTACGTTGAATGTTTTGATTATGTTTCGTTTTTTCTTTTGTGGTGTCATAGTGGTAAACATGTAAATGTATTTTCTTTCTTTCTTTTTCTTCTATATGTATACGGTATAATGAATGTCATGAACACGTGGTATTTAGAGAAAATATTTTGACACAGCGCATCAATTCAAATAAATAATTCAACTTAACATTCATTGCCTATTGACGGCTTTGTTCGCTGTCGTTTTCTCCATTATCATCCGCCTGCACCCCGTTTAAAGTAATTATAATTATAATAACCTTACGCAAGGAAGGAAGTATACGGTTAATAAATAACACGTTATCGTGCTTTATCGTGCTAACTTTTGTTTCAGAAAATTGTTTTAGGGAATGGGTGAACAATGTGTCGCTGGAAAAATATTGTTGAACACATGTTCGCACGTACGCGGGGCGGTTACGTTAATCCTTTTTAAGGACAATTTATCTTACATGTGTAGGGGGCGAAATTCTTTTTTGAAATATATCTTTTTACTCATTAGTTTTAAAATGGCTTCCCTTACAAATATTGAAAAGGCACTCGTCATTTTGTACAAATATTCTCTTGGCGACCTGCTTTATATAAATAGTGTATAATTTGCAGGTAAGGTACAATAAA